AGCACTAGTCAAAATGAAGCTATTTACTTGTTTAGGCGTGCAACTGGCTCTTACTTTTTGTTCCGCCCATTGAAAATGGGGAGGAGTTTTGTGTTCGGGTGTGTTTTAGTTATTTTCTTTTTTTTCTTTTTGTTTTTCACGCTAAACTAGGTACCACAAACAATTATCATATCAAAGACCTTAAAGTCTCAATGCGAAACACAATTGAATTTTTCAAACAAGATTTCCCAGTGTCGAGAAAAATCGGTTTTAAGTTTTTGCTTTTCCTCTTGATCGAGCGAATAAAGCGAGTGAGCAGTCTTATTTTAATTGCTTATAAGTTTAATAGCTTAATTTAAATTGTGAAATATTGGTTTTAATCGATTAACGTTAGTTTCTGAGTTTTTTAGCGCCTCTTTGGAATCAAAAATTTGAATGTTTTTTTTTAAATTTTTTTTTTCGTTTTTCCTCAAAAAATGCTTTTCAATTGGCCTGTTTTAATATGAATGTCAAATATTCCTGGTCTCTAATTTTTTGTTCGTCTGTTTTTAATTACACTAGGCCGAATCAATTTTATTAGTGATGATAACTTTGTTTCAAATCTTGATTTTCGATGAGAAGTGTTTCTTTTGTATATCAAGTACCCACTCAACCCATGAAAAAATTAATAACTAAAGGTAAACTGCAAAAAAGGTTTGCTAAAGTATACGCATTGCTTGTACTTCGGTTCATGAATAAGCTATACAGAACAAGACTGCTCTCATACCAGGGCGAAGCCTTGAATGCTCTTACTGCTCTTGAAAGCCAATTTGAAATTTATTTTTTCGTTTAAATATTGCAAATTTATCGAAAGAAAAACCAAAACAAATTATTAGGTTTTTTTTCTTCAATTTTCCACCACACGTTATTAGCACAGCACTTATATGTAAAGTTTATCTAATCTTGCAAAAAAATCATTTTAGTTTTGTATCATTTAGGTGAAATTATCGAAAGAAAAACAAAAAAAAAATCCATTTTTTTTCTTCAATTTTTCCCCACCCATTATTGTGAACGAACTACAAAGCAATTTGTTTTGCGTTTATATTGATATTGCGTTTGTCCTAATATAACTTATTTACCGTCTGTTTTAAAAAGATTTTAAGATTTTAAAAACGCTTCGTTTGGGTTATATATGCAGATGAGTTTTTTAGTTGTTCGTTGTTTCGTAGTTCATCTTTAACAGGATTTTTTTTAATGTGTAACGCACACACGCGTGATAAACTGCTCCCAATTTTTCCCAGATTTTTGGTCACGTGAACTTTTTTACTCTGTCTAACATAGCTGTTGCTAACATAGTGTTCATTTTGCTTATGCATTTAAAATGAGCATCATCATTACTCGTTGGTTTCGTATCCGTTATAATTACCCTTGCGATAAGCAAGGGTGTTGCAATCGGGTACTAGATTTTGTGTCAAATTTGTCCACAGGGCTCATTGGACTCCTGGTGGCACCTTGGTTCATAATGAATTCAAATTTTTTAAAGTCTCTTGCACACTTAGCCTGATGGTAACCAACACGCCTGGGACGACAAAGGTCCTAGGTTCGAATCTTTTATTTTAGACAAAAACTATTTTCGCTGCAGTTAATTTGTGCATTTTGAAAGTCTGGCCGAATTGAAGTTTGCTTTCCACTTTAGCTGTAATTTTACTAGCTCGATTTGTTAAAAATTCACTTTTTTTCATCATCTTTTTTCGTCTTTTGTATCGGCTTACTTAAGTTCGACTCAATGGCCTCCTATTGCGCCGTTAGGTCAAAAAAAAAATGTGCGTGCGTGTGTGTGTGTGTGTGTGTGTGTGTGTGTGCTCTGCGGGAAAAGGGGCTTAACATTTTTTTTGCACACTCATCGTTCTTAAGATCAGCTCTTAACATCAGGTCCTTTTTTTTCAAACTAGAGTTTTTGTGCTTTTTCGGACTATCGTCCACCTGTTTTTTTTTGTCGACTTAGTTTCCTTGGTTTATTGGTTCAATTTTATTCAAAGTTGATGCTACCCCCATGCTTGAGACGACAAAGCTCGGGAGTTCGATTCCAGTTGAGACCTGTTTTTCTTGCTAATAGAAAGTTTTGGCTAATTTAGTTTATCGTCTGTTTGCTTATTTTTGTCTTTTTAGTTCTGAAGAAAGATTTTTTTGCAAACTTGGCTTCGGTATAGCATTCCCGAAGCTCTTCGTTTTCATTGGTTCAGGCAAATTTTCCACAAAAAGTTTGGGCTTTTGTTGCATTTTTTTGACAAAAACGATTATTGGATGTTTTTTTTTCGTTTGATTTTCATAGTCATTCATAATGTTATCGCAAATCGTGCGAAACTCAGCTTCGCCTCTGTACTGAAACTTTGTACTGTGGGGAAGAAGGGGGGAGAAACTATCAAAAATTTACAACTATTTCGAAACTGGATAAAAGGCTACGTACGGCCCAGATTGTGAAGCATTTCCAACGAGATCATTGAACCATTGAAGTGTTTTTTGACACCCGCGAGAAGAAACGAGGCAACGGCCGGCAAGGCAGTTCAAAAATATTGAGTAGGGAAAGAACCAATTCGATTTTTGTTGTAAGAAAAATACTTTTAACAACCAAAATTTTTCATGATAGCGGGGGTGTTCAATTGATGTTGAGTCACACGATGTAAAGTATTGAAAGTAATGGGGAAAGTCCGGTCTCAGAAACAAAAGTTTGTACCCCTTTCATCTGAAAACAATATACAAAAGTTGACTATAGGAACATGTTTCACGGACGAATGCGGGTCAATTTTGGACGGCCCGGATCAACCGTACAACCTCTCCACCCCCACCTAAGTTAACAACTGTAGAATTCCCCCCTAGCCACATATTAAATTTTAAACATTAATTCTGTATATTGAATGCACTTCGAACAAACGCGCAGACAAAATTTGGTTGTCACAATTTCTATGTGGGATTGCCTTTGAATGCTGTTAATAACCTCAACTATAACGTGTTTTTAATCAATTTTCTCTTAATAAATTGTAATTAAAAGTCTAAGGTATACTCAAATTTATTTCCGGAAAAGTTGATATTTTTTCTCCCCTAAATCAATTGGGGGGGGGGGGGGGTTTGAATGTTTGATCCGACGGCGCTGATGGCTTTGCTAGTGGTTTGTTTGCCAAGATACCAATGAATCACTTTGGTTGAGACTTCAACAACAAGAAGGAGGATAATCTTGTCAGCTATTAACCACAACAAACTTATGAAATTACAAATTATTCGAGCAGCGTTGCCATCTGCATTCAGTCTAGTGCAAGCTGAGTGCTTGGCAATTCGTAGATTTCCGGATCAAAACACATGCGCTGTCTAATCAGTTCGAAGTTAAGAAACCAACCCAGACATATGTTTTTCTCACTTTCTTCAAAATTTGGAACAATATCACAAACAGAAAATTTGAAATGCTATAAGGAAAATTTTCAACGAGAGTTGAACAAGTGATTTAATTTCAATTTTCATCAAGGATAATTTTTTTGTTGCTTCATTGGCGTATTTGATCTGATCTTCGGTCTAACTTAAAAAGTCTGGATTAGCTCTTTCAGCTCTTTTCCCATCTTCGTTTTTCAGTAAAATTGCAATTTATCAAGATTACGTAACTTGAATTTAAGATAAATTTCCTCCAGCTTTTTTTGTCAGAATTTCGAGTCTTATATGCACAAAACGGCCCAAAATTAAAATCTTTATATCTTTTAGCTAAAACTACTGCGGCAGAATTTGATTGGTTAATATTGGCCAATCAAGTTCAAGCAACATGGTCAGGCATGTCAATCAACCGTTCTAGCAGAAAAAACATTTAGCCGAGCTTAATGAGAATCTGAATCTTAATCAAATAATAAGATTAATTTCATGTTTTTTTTGTGAAATGGTTTCAACGCGATATTTATCGTTTTGGTCATTTCGGCCAATAATTTTATCTGCTTTAAATTTTAATTGAAATGCCGGACCATGTTGTTTGCATTTGATTGGCTAATGAACCAAACAGATAGAACGACATATTTACCTAATATCGAGATGTAGAAATACGTATTTTGGGCCGTTTAGTGCATAAGACCCAGAATTTCCTACACCGATACTAAATTCTTTGGTGACTCAGTTGCATGTTTTTGCATTCATAATACCCATCGCTCATGGGTTTCCTATACTGTGGGAGGGTGATTTTTGGTCGACGTCGACTCGCTTCTTCAATTATGGCTCCTTAAGTTTTCGTGCCCTAGGCTTGGAACATGTTGCAATCTCATGTTTCACTTTGTTATTCTCGCCAGTAGCGGATTTGGTGGTTGGGTGGGCGGATGACGTTTCCTTCACGCAAGGATTTGACCCCCTGCCGACCCAAAGGGTCCACCCTTTGTACTATTTTGAGATACCATTTTTGTCTGAGTAACATCAGAATTTTTCTAAGGGCGCCGTTGGCGCCAAGATAAACTATTTTCGAAGGGAGACCTTTTTTTGGTCAAAACTGTCCAAAAATGCCTAAAAACACCTTTGCGAGCCGACAAAGTTTTCGAAAGTTTTTTGAAAATCCGCCATCCCTCGAGAAAAATCTAGATCCACCACTGATTCTCGTTGTCTCTTTTTGGTGGTTGGTAGTACGTCTAGAGATCGGGGAGTTTCTAAAGACCTAGCTTTCACGTTTTTTTTCGCGTTCGATAGTCGATTTCATGCCAAGAGAGCCATCAAGTAGTTCCAAAACCCTTTCAATGTGATTAAGAGATTCTTAGCTTTGGTGTTTTTGCGTGCGAACAGTTCAGCCATATTCAAGACTGAAAAATAACATCGGTCTTAATGTTTTGTCTGCCATCGCTTCAAAGAATTCGTTGAACATTTTTGCTCCCACTTCTTTGTTTGTTATGAAACAATATTCAACGCCAAATAACGGTTTTCTCTGTTTTTTTTACTGGCCCGATTCAGATTCTGGAGATTCTTCAAGTACTGAAAGCTGGCACATACTAGGGGTGTTCTTGTCACATTAACGAACCGGTATTTTAAAACCAGAGGACAAAAAATGTTTGCCGAAGAAGTTGAAATTTCATAATAACATCACCAGATCCATATAAGCTAACGAGTTTAAATATTAGATAGATAAATAAGCAAATAGAATTCTACCGCATGATCAGTATTCTAAGTCAAGTTTGACATTTATTTTGCGGCAGAAAAAAAAAACGAGTAATGGATCTCATTGACTCATTGACAGACAGCGTAGACATCACCTTGGCTAGAAGGAAGAAAAGTATGGAAATTTCTAAACGAGAGAAAATGCTGGAGTCCTACGGGTCAACGTTGAAAGAGGAAAAAGAAGAAGATGGGATACAGTATACAGTTTTCCAGATGACCAGAAGCTTGAGTTGCGCTAACCGGGAGCTGACATCGGTTCCAGGGTTCATAGGAGAGCATTACGGGGACTGGTTGGTACGTTTGGATTTGAGCTTCAACAATATCCTCTCAATCAACGGAATCACCCAATGCAAAACTCTTGAGGAGTTGATTCTCAATTGTAACGATATTTCAGACGAAGGTTTCTGCTTCTCCTCCCAAATGCCGAACTTGGTTAATTTAGTGCTTAACAACAACAGTTTGAAGGATATAGGGCACTTTCTCAAGCAGTGTCAGAATAGTTTGCCCAATATTTCGATCCTGAGTCTCCATGGAAATCCTATTTGTCAAGACTCGCTGTTGGCTAAATGCGCAGACGACGAAGAAGATTATGAGCGTTATAGAATAACTGTTCTTCATAGTTTGCCGACATTGACTTTTTTGGACTCAAGATGCGTCTCGGCCAATGAAAAAGAAGAAGCTGCCAAAAGGGGAGATTTTCTGACTCGGGTTGCAAAGCCGAAAATAGTCGAGACTTCGGGTGAAAAACAATCGAAAAGTAAATCCGCAGCTCTGGATTTCAAACCTCTGCCCGAGACCAGGACTCATCAGAACATGAAAGCGCAGAAAGCAAGTGCGGCTCGCGAGAAGTATCACTACAAGGGCAACCATTCGGAGGGAAACCGATTTATTACCGATGGGCAATTGTGATTTTGGTAAACGTAAACTAAACAAAACATTTCTTATCTCGTATAAATTAGAACTAACTAATGAGCAAGATAACTGTGAAAAACGTATTTTCAGCCTTACTATGAGAGGTGGAAATAATGCGAGGGAAAATAAACGAAAGCAAAAGATGAAAGTAAAAAAAAATCAGATTTTTGAGACTTTTTAGGGGGAGTGAAGTCCTTATTGAAGTACATGACAAAACTAGACATTGATGATACTTTTTTTTGCTGTTTGTGTTGATTAATTCATTTAAAAACCCCTTCTTTAATTAAGAGTAATGAACGCAGTAATTACTCTTTTATAGGTCTAGGTGATTTTTTTTTTCACTCAATTAATCAATTAATGATGTTAGGACCTAGAGAATTGACTGTTACTAATATATCTACTTCAACGGTTTTTTGGTTTATTAATTCAAAATACTGCTACACTTCTTTCGGCTTATTGATTGTCTATTGAATTTTTGCCAGTGTAGTTTGAAAAATTTTAATATCCTAATATTTTTCTTTTTATGGGAATTTTAGCAGTTCTTTGCTAAAAATTTTTTATCAGACCTAAATTTGACGGAAAAACATCAACTTCATTAAGTTAACTTCATAAAAACCAATTGTCGACAAAATATTTTAAAGTTATGATATGTATCAGGTTGGTAACAGTAGTCCGTTGTCGAAGTTTAGTTTTGTAGAATGTTACAGCACAAACTCCAGATCTCGTTTTTATTAGAAGTTGATTTTAAAAAATTAAGCTTTTATTTGCCTCTTTGCTTAATCATTTAATTGACCTGAATGGATGCTGATTTTTAGCTTTTTCAAATCTATAATTCAGATTATCCGACAATTTTTATTCCACGCGAAGGCATCACACTTAAAACTAACTCAAAGGCATCACACTCAAAAAATGGCTCAGGACGGAGCAGCCCACGCAATTTAAATATCCCATCTGAGGAATCGAAACGATTAAAATAACCTAATAGGTCATACAAAGGAATTACAACCAAGCTGCTGCAAATGAACAAACTAATCAAAGCAACGCTAACTTTTGAAAAAACGAGTAAAATCAAATTTGTTCAAGGCAAAAAATAATCAGCGCATGTTTGAATGCACCAAACGTTTAACTTATCAAAGCAGAAAAATGCTACTTTCTCAGCTCACTTTGCATTATGGCTAAAGAATAAGAGTCACATTGTAAAGATCAAACGATCAATTTACGGTGGGTTAAAAGTTTAGTTCGAAATATTGATTACAATTGTCCCCTAATTCTCAAAAAAACCTTTACATGGATTCAAATTAGGTAGGGGGTGAGGGAAAGATTCAAATTTTTGTTGTAGTGGCTTCTACCACTTCCCAAAAATGGCACCTCTACGATGGTTTTTAGTCCAAAAACCTATTTTTTTCAATATCTGAGTTCTTGTGAGAGTTAGAGATTATCTAGACTTTTTTTATTGAGTTCTCGGTTTTTCGTACGGGTTTGATTAGTGCTGCCGTTGCTTGCTTTCATATTATTGAATCTCTGGTTGAATGAGTCACGCTGAAGTTGTTCCAAACACGTATGAATCGAGGGCTGACTGCCCTGGAAAAGCGACGTAACGTCGTTATGCCAGCCTTCAACTACATTGTTTGGTCCAACACGTACTGACACCGCGTTGTTATAGTGATTCGAGAGATCTGGGGAAATCATGAATCATTGTTGTTTGTCAATTGTTTCTCCATATAAATTTTCTGGAAATGTGATAGGAGTTTGTCACTCTTCTCGAGGATATCAGTTGATATGTCAAAATTAACACGAGTTCGCATATTTGGTCGATGACTAGAGGATATGCAGACTCGAGATCTGACAGAGAAACCAGGCCTAAAGCTGGGACCTTTTCAAAGGTTAAAGGTTGTTTTCGTAGATGGTTTTCAGAATTAGCTCTGTGAGTTTTGGCGATGGAAGCTTTGGCACAGATGAAAGTAGCAGCTTTTGCTTTAATTTTTTTTATTGGAACGAAAAAACGTTCACGACAGCTTGCTCGAAGACAATTAATTTTTTTTCCTGGAACGGCGTTTCCAATAAGGCTAATCAAGGCCGCAAGGATCATTTTGTTGATGAAATCGTTTTTGTAACTACGCAAAACGTAAACGCAAGGGGGGTAAAAGGTTCTCCTTTAAAGATAACCAACGTCGTACCTGGTTGAGTTTTGCCACAGATAAAATCTGTCATATTCTTATTTGTTGTAATTGCGCTAAATGAAAAGTTTTATTTTTGTGTTTCTTTATCAAATATTTCCTAATTATACTTTCTTTAGGAAGTTGAAAAACAAAACTTAATCCCTAGAAACGAGTTTTTTAAGCACTATCGCCACATGGCGCTTCAAAATAATTGGGACAGATCATTTAATAGAGATTTGCGCCAACCCTCGACACTTTCTATCATAAAATAATTTTTATTTTGATATGGGCTATTTTGGAATGGGAAACCTTTTCATGGGATTTTTGTCCCATCACCGTATTTACAATAACAGAACGCAATTTGAAAGCATAGTAACAGATAGGCTGTTAATTCGAAATTGTATTTGCGTTAGATTTGTCTTACTGCGTGATAGTTAAAATTTTAGCAAAGCTTGATTTCGCAAGGTTTATTATTATGGCTGAGCTGAAAAACGTCATTTTTAACAAAATTACAATTTCCGAAGCTAAAAAAGTGTAGTACTCTTTTTTACGTCTCTATCCAAGTTTAAGATGGTTCCATGTCAAGTTGGACTTGCACAGCTTCAGTATACCGCTTATAGATAATTGAATATGTATTTTTCAAGCAGGCAAAAACGACAAACAAATGCTTTAGAAAATTGCAAGAAAAAAATTGTTCAAAGAAAAACAATTTGGACTTGACCATACTGCTCATTCATCAAAGCAAAGAACTGTAATTGTTAACCAACCTTTTAGTAGTTTGCATTTGTTTGATCGTGAAAATAAAAACAGATTGCAAAAAAAGCAATTTGAACAATTTTTTTTTGCCCACACTCTTCCCCGACTCCCAAAGTTAACTACAAGGTACTAGAATTTGCATCTCCTGAAAAACTATTTGAGATAATTGGCTCAATTTAAACTTATGTTCGAATCGAATTATTTCGGCGCTTTTGCTCTGTGTTCATGCTACATTTTTGCGACACATTTTGCGCAATATTGCCGCATTTGTTGTTTCCAGAAGAATTCATAAATTGACAAAATCGGTCAAAAATTGTCTGAATAAAACATTTTCGCAACCTGGAATATTTCTCAACTACTATTGAATCCCATTTCCAACCGCTTAGCTATGGCGTCCTGACAATAATTTTTGTACCGAAAATGATATTTTTTAGTTAACAGGCGGAATAGATTGTGCTTTAGTACAGCAAAAATAGCAAGAACATGCTGTTTGCTAAATTTACTGAAAAAAGGCTGCTTGTATAACACCACACTCGTACGCTCGGTTGATTAATGACCAGGGGACATTTTTCGTTAAACTGATATTTTTGTTCTACTAGTGGCAGCTGGAGTATTCTCTTTCTTCTTAGATTTACCAAAATTTTCTATCCACGGTGTTTTTTGATAGAGAAATATCAAAATACAACTCTTCTATCGATGGCTACCTCGTGCTATTTAATGACTTATCTCAACAGATAGAGTTAGGGATCCAAAAATCAAAACTCCGACAAAATAATCTATCAAGTAAATCTTGCACAAAGTCATCTTAAACATGGTGTTTTTAGTGGGTCAAATAGTATTTTTTCTGCTTTGTATTTTCAAGTGGATTAACGCTCGGCGAATTTCTCCAAATTATCGCCTACATGAAAATTTTTACCCGAAATTCGGTGAAATAAGTATTTTTCACATCAGTATAAAAATTAATTTAGCAATGATGTTTTTTTCGTGCTCAAAAATGTTTCCTTCAAGGCATTTTGATGTAGTGTTCTGTTTAATTTTCAAAAGAAACTAGCAATGCACTTCATTTTTGAAAACTAAATCAGTTATTTTTTTCCGGTAAGTTTATTTGATATGGTTTTGCAGATTCAAACTACGATACATTTTCCACTGTAACACAAAACATACTTTAAAAATTAAAGTTCGAATAACTTTTTTGATACAAAGTTGAGCAAAAAATAGAGATGAATTTTTTTTCTATACCCACATCCTTCTCCGAAACCCGATGTACAATACATTTTAGCTCAAGGCCTCAGCTTGTTTGCGGAAGATCAAAAAAATTCAAAAGCGGTCGAAACTGATCTGAATAATATTATTCTCCCAACTATCTGCATAGGTCAGGTTTTTTTTAGAAATGTAAGGAAATTGAAAGCGGCCTTTCCACTCTTGATTCAATGTTCTAACCGCCTGGCTATGGCATCTAGCCAAAGACTTTTCACATATCTGAATTTTTCAAGATAACAGGCGGAAAAGAGTATGTGCTTTAGTACAGCAGACAGCAAGAACATGCTGTTTGGTTAATTCATTGAATTTCTACAAAATTTGCTTATTTTCCAGAAAAAAATGGCTCATTGAATAACACTACCCTCGTAGTCTCGTTTGAGTAATGATCGATGAGCATTTTTTGCTCAAATAATTTTTTTTTGTTTAACTGCTAGCAGATTAATTACTCTCTTGTTTTGGATGTTCTAAAACTTTTCTGCACGGTGTTTTTTTGATAGATGAGCATCAAAATATAATATTGCTATCGATAAATGCCTCTTGCTTTTTGAAGTTTTATTTCAACGGGTAGAGATTGATACAAATGATATCTTTCAACGTTGGAAATTGATATTGATTAATGTCAGTTTAAATTTGGTTTGTTTTTAACGGGTCAAACAGGGGAAGAACCTTATTTAGCGTTGCATTTGCAAGTGGGTTAACGCTCTGCAAATTTCCTTCCAATGGTCTGCACGAAAATGTTTTCTTAATGCTCGGTGACACAAATACTTTTCAAATCAGCAACGAGACTAATTTGGCAAAAAATTTTCTATTTCTTTTCTATTTTCGTGCTCATTTGTTTCGATGTACCGTGTTTTGTTTTAAATTCAAGAGAATGCAATATTTTTTCTTCAGTAACATTATTCGTAATGGTTTCGCGGATTAGCAAAGTCTGATACGTTTTCCACAGTAACACAACAAATTTACTAATGCAAGCTTGTGAAACTTTCGTTGGTATAAAACCGGATTTCAAATTTCGAAATAAACAAGACTGCTCGTATCAGGGCGAAGCCCTGAAAAATCCGGCTGCCTCTTTAGATCTATGGAGCAGTAATAACATGAAAAAATAAAATGTATAAAAATAAAATGATTTTTTATTTGACCTTTTTTGTGAAAAACATCTCCCCTCACGCCAAATTAAGTACAAAGTGATAAATTATGCTCCTAGCTACAAATCATTTATGGCAAATAAGCTTCCTTCAACCAATTTGGAACGATTTTTAAGACGAATTAAATCTCCGCTCAGGAGATATTATCGCGAAATATATCTCGCGTTAATCGTCCCAAATTGGCCAAAATGATAAACTTCAAATCCTCCATAACTTTACAAACAAGACTGCTCGTATATCAGGGCAAAGCCCTGAATGTTGCGACTGTCCCCTAATTCATATCGAATAGTTTCTGGGAAAAGAAAGTATTGAAAACCTATAAATTTTGGACAATACCAAAGTCTGAAATGTAGAGTCGTATGAAATTAATACGATCGATTAGCTAGCCTCAATTTAATTTAGAACGCTTTTGCTGTGCCGGATAATTCGCCACGCAAAAAAAATTTGCGTTAGGCTCTCAGCATTATGAATAAATTCTTCAGAGCGGGCATAATTTAGCCCAGTACATGGCCAATTTGGCAATTCTCAAACCCCCCGAACTTAACAAAAAATTATCTTTTTAAATTTGAAATCGGGAAGCGATATCTTCAATGGGGTATAAAAATTGTTTTTCGAAAACTATTACTTCGATCGGCGAAAATTGACCGAATAAAAAAACCATACCGAGCATAAATATTCCGTTTTCTTCGAAAGCCGGAACAAAAATGATCACAGGTGAAATATCTTTTCAAATTTAAGCTCAAGACAACATAACTTTTTGAAGGATATTTTAAAACTCCGTCAAAAATGGCTAGTTAAAAAGTCGAAATTTGTCTGAAAAAAAAACACTCCGAGCACAAATATTCCGTTACTTTCGTCGGATTAATTACAGAACATTTCATTCACAAAACATTCAAAGGGGCCTCACATTGCTATATAACACAATCCGCACTTGCATAAAACTGAGCCTGAAGGATATATTGGTTAAACAATAAATATACTATGCTTAGTAATTTATAACATCGAGTTTCAATAAATTCAAATCCCATTTTTGGGTTCATTTCCGTTTTGAGCTGCTCTTTTTACTTTTCTTCTTGGTTAGTTGAGCTGATTTGTTGCTTTTGGAATATTTGCACTTAGGGCAGAACCACTTTTCATCTGGTGGCTCTTCTGTAATTCCCAAACACTGCCTAAAAATCATGAAAAATTAAAAGAACCCAATTATTTAAGAGCTTAACCGATATCTTCAAATATTTCCATCGTGTGAAAACAAGTTCAACGATGCATAACTAAGATGAATATTTCTACAAATTGGATATTCCACTTGCTAGCGGAATTTTCAACTAAATGAAGTTTCAAAGACAATTCTTCTCCTCTCAGACAGAAGAATCAAAGCTGTTTTCAGTACCGGCATAAACTGGCAGAACGCCTCCTCAGACGCATTTTTCTACACGTTAAGTTTCCCGGTGGAGCAAAATCTTTTCAAAAATGGGCCTTGCATTTTATTTTAGTTTATTAAAAACAGCCTTATCTGAAAAAAGTTTTTCTAACCTGAATCTTTGGAAATATATTTCAATTCTATTGACTCAAATTTGTTTTAAAAAATGATAAGTTTGTCATTACGAGGCCAAACTGTGCACTGCATGGGCGCACAATTTTGTGTCTGTACGTTCCTAGATTCCTGAGACAAGTCTTTAAATATGTTCCAAAATGTAAGTGGATTCCACAAACAAAATTTCAGTGGATTCCGCATACATATAGCTGTAACGTAAATTTTGTCGGCACATTTGTTTTGTTGCGGATTCCGCAACAAGAAAATATAGCTAGTTGTTCTGGATTCCGCAACTGTAAGTGGATTCCGCAAAATGTAAGTGGAATCCGCAAATGTAAGTGGAATCCGCAAAATTTTAAAAACGATTAAGGCCACTTGTAGAAAAGGCCAAAGAAAATTTGAAGGTGTAATCAGCAAAAAAAAAAAATTAAAGTACATAGAGAAGAGAAGGATTGGTATCCTTTAGATGGCGAAGGGGAAATATGCAACTTGAAGCTGCAGACTACCAGAAAGCGACCAAAAGAAACAAACTTTGCTTTTTAATCAACGACTTGCTCAATCTGGTTACACTTTGCCCACAACAAATTTATGACTCACCAATGATACCATGCGTCACACTGGTCGCACCCAATCATGGGATTGTGTCCGTTATCTGCGAACCCACATCCCGGACAAATCCACTCCTGACCCTCCCCCGCGCCACCTGGCTCTGCTCCCAACACGTCAGTTCCACCGGGTTCTAATTTGATCACACCACCAGCGCTGTGTATTAATGCAGTTGATGATGAAGCAGGTGTGGGGTGATAATAGTCTGGGTTTGCAGTGCCCACCAGAGGAGGTAGATTGGGACTCTGCAATACCATTTTCACCAAAATTATTCAGCCCAAGTTTTGACTTGCAAACTTTAAATTTCGACTTAACACTTTGAATTAATTAAGAAAAACCTTGCTTTTAATCTTTCTTTTCTTAACGTAATGGCAACACGACATAATTTGAGTTTTGAAGAAGTGTTCATGAATCAAAAACACCAGCATACTTAATAAGATCAGGGGCGGATTCAAAGGGGGCAGACGCCCCCGCAGGAATTCGACCCCCTGGGACCCAAAAGTACCCCATTGGTCTTATTTTAAGATATAAACTTTTTGCTGACCGATCCTAAAATTTGAAAGGCGACTTTGGCGCCAATATATACTAATTTTCAGGGCGATGTTTTATCAACATTTTCGAAGTAGCTAAAAACACCTTTATTGGCATGTTTTTTTTTCAAAAACTCGCCTGCGGCGCAGAGAATTTGGTCAAAATAGGTCTTAGTGTGATTTGGGAGAGCTCAGAAAATCAATTTGGTCGACCCAAAAATATTGACAAAATTTTGAAAATTCAACCCCCTCTCGAGAAAAACCTAGATCCACCCCTGAATAAGACCAATGAAAATAAGACTAAAACGAAAAAAAAACTAGAAAATGATTCAATAAACTGCACGATTATCAATACAAAATAAGTTATAACAATCTCACGGTATTGGTGAAGTCGCTGTCTCTTATTCCCACAGGGGTAATTGGAGAGGAAATCTGATCGCCAATTGATGAAACAGATGGGGCCTTAATGGTCAAACTAGGAGGAGCAGCTTTTTGCATCAGTTCAGCGTTGGCCAACAAATCTCGCATGTTATCTTCCTTCTGCTTCTTAGACGCTACAGTTTTCTTCCCACTGCTTGGTTCTAACAAGTCCATAACTGATTCGTTTGCTTCTGGAGAGTTATTCATTTCTGCGTCAGGGACTGCTGTTGTAGGCTCGGAAACTGTGGCTGCGTCTTCCGATTGGCCTTCTTCACCGAGCGTACTGGAAAAAAAATGTTCCAAAAATAACGTCGAACTCACAGTAAAATTAAATGAACGTGAACAAAAGCCCCGAGCCGTCAAAAAGTCATATCAAGCTTTGTCTACCATAAGCCATTTTCAGATTATTTATAAGAATGAACAGGACAACAACATTGTTACTTAGCGCGATAAACTGGTCTTTTCACTATGTCATTTTTATTTTTTATTTAAAATAGTACCAGCCCATGGAAGCAAATCTACCCTTTGAAAATTATGTCTATTTATCAGCTTGCCTATATGTCAAAAACTTACACACTCTTCCCTCCGAACTTCAAGATGAAACGAAACCCTCCAAAGGAACTCTCATCCTCTTCGTCCTCTACAAGGTCAACATACTCCTACAATACAAAACTTTAGAAAAACTAGTTTGATTGCTTAAAAAACCTCAAGACCTAAATGAGTGTCTTCACTTTTAAATTGGCACTCAATGAAAGCAGATCAATAAAACAGATTCAAATGTATTCAGGGAGAGAGAGGTCAATATTTCTAGGATTTCCACCCCATCATCATCCCTAGTTCTATTTTACGGTATCCATTTTAGGCTGACCAACCCCCAAGTTTTTCTAAATGCACATTTGGCGCCCATATGTAATTTCTATGGTGCGAGCGTCGGTAAACCCAATTTGCTGGTCAAAATCTTCCAAAAGCAAACACTAAAACAGCTATTTTGGCGTGTTTTCTGTAATTTGCGTGCGACAGAATTTTCGGCAGAATCGGCTCTTTTTAGTGTTTGAAGAGGGCCAGAAAATCAATTTCGTCAACACTTAACAGGCGTTCACGAGGGCATTCAGAAAAATCATATGTAGAAAAAAAACAATTCCAGTAAAAATTTCAACACTGATGTTCAACCCAGAAGAATTGTGATCGATTTTTTTGGAATTTTAAAGATTATCTGCTTATTGCCTTCTCATAGCTAATCACGAGAAAAACAGCTTCAATATTCTTCAAAATCTGGCTAGGGCATAGTTTCTTCTTACATAATTTTACGGTCGTAACAAGAATATGAAAAATTTGACAATAACGTCTATAACTAAAACTCAGAAATTAATCAAATTTATGTTGCATAAGTGTATTGATACCTTTTTCATCTTCTTGTGCTTCTTCTTCGACTTATGCTCGGATGTGTGTTTCCTTTTCTTGCTTTGTCCAGAAGATTTCTCTTTATCTTTCTGAAATAAAAAATAGTAGCGAAATTGTTTATCTACCCATCATCAAATAACCAGCGTATTAAGTTATTTATCGAATATAATTTCATCTCTAATTACCCAAGCAAACGCTTGTGTTAGATTACTATTTTTCCAAACTAACTCCATAAATTACTGCGCTATGAAATTTAGCCTTGGGAATGTAAAAGCATGAGTTGAATTCACTTTTTTGATAACTAATGTTTGACAACAGAAAGTCGTCATAATGCAGCTGGCAAGACGCTAGATTCTAAATCCGAGGTCGAGGAGTTCGAATCCCACAAACTCAATCATAAAGATGCATGTTTAATTCTAACCATAGAATCGGAAAAAAACTGCAATGGAAATGAAAAAGTCACTGACTTCCAATTTATTGATCTTTACTTTATTTTATAATTTCTGCACCAAAATTGGAAACAGCGAAATGCAAACAATGGTTATTTGTAACTAAACAAAAAAAAGATTTAAACGAACAACCACATGAAATATTGATGATCGCAAAAAGTTAGAAATATTTCATATTAATTCAACAGTAAGTACAATCTAGCCGTTTTCTAACAGATTTTTGATTCACAAAAACTGAATTGACAAACTCAAACCAAGCAAAGGAGCCATTTGTAAAAAAACAGAGGAAGAATGGTTTTAACTGATAGCAAATATTAGAAAAATTCAATTTTTCTCTTTTTTCACGATTTCAAATAATTTAATAATCGCCGCCCCATTTCTTGCCTTCCTGTGACTACGAGAGGACAAACAAAAATTGAACATAACAAACACGAGGACAAACAAAAACTTGAACATAACAAACCCGAGAGTTGGAAAATTGCAAAAGAAAAAAGAACCCAAGAAAAAATTGAATTCAAACAATTCAATAATCGCCGCCCCATTTATTGCCTTCCTGTGACTAAGAGAGGACAAACAAAAACTTGAACATAACAAACCCGAGAGTTGGAAAATTGCAAAAGAAAAAAGAACCCGAAAAAAAAAGGTTTTTGAACATTTTCGGCGTTCGAAAAAAATATATATTACCTTGAAAACCTTTGAGTTTATGATAGGCAGTAGTTTTTGCAAAATGAGATCATTCAGAGAAAACTGGATCAATAGGTTATTTTTTTATTCCGCGAAAAATCAAATTCTGCGAAAAATCATATCTGAGTAGGAACAATTTTTAAATTCTTCCAAAAAACAATACATCAAAAATCACAACCCATATATGTGAAAACCATTTCGTTTATTTACACTTAATAATATCGTCAAAAAATGGTATATCGAACATTTTTTTAATTACAGGCACCATAACGGGAATACTTCTTTCCATCCTTTTGACCAACACAGTAGCATTTCAACGGCCTCATCAATATTTGAACGGCCAATCAAATATCTAAATAACTAAGTTACACAAATTTTTACCTCAAGGTCCCTACTTTTTTGTTTTTCTACTAAGGTTCAGCCAATCTTTTTATAACAAAAAAATTTTACACCAATCCGAGCGTGGAAATAGATAACGGAAGCCTGCTCTTCAAAAAAAACATTCAAAAAGATTTGGTGTCTTCTTCGACCCGACCCTAAATTCGTTGCCGAACGCTGCAAGCGAGCTTCTGCAAAAACCGCGCGCATAATTTCAACCCTGACGGCTCTATCCAGGTCTTCTTGGAGATAAAGCGAGCACTGCCAGGCCGCAGGCTGGCAGTAAGTACAACATCTTTAACTGCAAATAGTTCAAAATGCTCCTCTCAGTGTGACAAAAGGGTCTACAAAGACGAGCGCAATAGAACATTTGCATTCAGAATATAAACTTTTAAATATGGACAACCAGCGTTATCTACTAGCAATGCAGTTTGCCCTCAAAACTCTCGTTCCGTCGAATCTGCTACTTTTTAATCATCATTATCCTGAGCTCTCGCGGAAAATTCGACCTTAGCTGATTGACTCAATACACCCAATATACACACATAGAATTCAACACCCTACCCGAACGTTCTGCCCCCTCAGAGAAATGACATCTCCCACGTCGAATAATCCTTCCCTTATTCCACTAGTAACAAATTATCCCCGTTGAGATCCGGGTACAGTCCCTTCCTCACTCTGTCTGGGTCCGAATTGACCTCAATGTCTCCCAAAACTGCCCAAAACTTCCCCCATAACACAATCCATATTTTTAACTGTTTTACAGAATACCACTTTTCTGAGCCACAATACAACTGTAGCGTGGTCCGCGGCCAGTTTGGACGTCTCTGAGGCTTGAATTGAGCATGCGAGACGCGCCTTTTTGGGGCCAATAACAACAACAAGTGCAGCAACAGCAACAACCACAACAACAGCAACAATAACACGAACAACCACAACAACAGCAACAACAACAACAACTACAACAACAACAACACCATCATCATCAACAACAACAACAACAACAACAACAACAACAACAACAACAGCTTCAACAACAACAGCTTCAAGAACAACAACAACAACAACAACAACAACAGCAGCAGCAACAACATCAACAACAGCAACAACAAGAACAACAACAATAACAACAACAACAACAACAACAACAACAACAAATGCAACAACACCAATAACAACAACAACGGCCAATCCGAGCGTGGAAATAGATAATCGCCACAATACCTCGACATGGTTTTCGAGGTAAGGTCATTATTCCTGTCAAATCTTGCTTGGAAAATCGAATGCAAAAAATTGTTAAGAATGAAAACAAACGGAACATGGTACCAATCAATTTTGCTGCTCATCAACAAAAATACATTTAAACAATTCTTTTCGCACATGAAATTACAATCAATCATAATGAGAAATAATTGGACTCATTTTGCCAGGGACCAAAAAACGCTGGTCTATAGAAAAAATTGATAGCTTCAGTATTAGACCATAAGTATTTGTAAATATCTCAGAGTTATGTTGGACAAAAAACAATTTGAAGAACACATAGAAAAACTTTTTAGAAAACTATAAGTGTATTTTCTCGTATTTTGTACAAAGCGATTGATTCCATTTTAAAACGCACACAGAAAATAAGATCTAGAAAACACTAAAACAGATCCAGGCCAGATTCGCATCCTTGACTTTTGTCGTCCCAGGCCTGGACGTTACCTCTGCGCCAAATGTGCAGACAAAACGCTGAATTTGAATTTATTATAATTCAAGCTACCAAATGATTCAGCGATTGTTTTTCATTGCATGTGTAAAATTCAAACAAGCTGACCCTATTTTTTGCATCAAATGATTTGCCTACAAATCTTAAAAAGAATGAGGTAATTACTGTTTTATGATGCATTGGCGTTTCTTCTACTGAACTTCCTTCATCTTGGAACTGTATTCCGAAATCAAAATCGAGCACTGAATCTAATTTTGACACTTTTTCTGGATTCGGATTGAATTCACTGTTTGGCAAATGAGCGCCATCACCGCCGACCAAATTTGGACTGGGTGGGTTAAATATCGTTTCCTTTCTCCCACCGAAAACTTCAGGAGGTGCCGTTGTTGTAGTTGAAACTGGATAATGATACGCTGGCTGGATTTGGGCAGGGTTGTATTCTGCGGTTGGACTGGTAACTCCAACTGAATTGGGACCTGAGTTTAAATCTGCGTCCAGATTCGGTGACCTAGGAATTTCGGTTGAGGTCGAAGGACTCAAAGGTATGAGGTCAGGTGAAGGGGGGATCTCAATTTCCCCGTCTGACTCAATTGTGACTACGGGTACCCTTGGTCGCAACAGGGAAGGAGGATCGAGCTTCACCTCTGGAGCAAGTACAACAGGTAGGTCAGTCTTGGGATATGAAGTTGGAAATAAGTCGAGACTGAAACATGTATGAAATTTTCATATCTAAAAGAAAAAACCTACTTAAGTTATATATATTTTAAACTCTTGTATTCTTATCATTGAATAGAATTGGAAAAAATTGTGAAAAATGGCAATCACTCGACAAAATAAGACACTCGAATTCTTTTCCATTTGTGTACTGGTTCATTAACAATTAGTGCGCATCAACTAAAAAAACAGATGCTCTACTAACTCTGGTGAACAAGGCTTCTCAACGTCACTTTCGGCATCCGTCTCTTCACCCAAATCCAAAACTTCCTCCTTTACTTCATTCGCTGATTGAGTGACAGTCAAACCAATATCTATCTCTGGACTCCTCGGACGTTTATCGAGACCTTCATCTTGGAAACTCTCATGTACATTTTCCAAGTTACTCGCCAGTTGCGGAACAACTCTTGAACTATCTTCCTCTTTTATACTCACAAGGAGGGGTGTGATGAACATAGTGGAGAATTTATCTTTAGGGGTGCTCAAATCAGGGGTATCTGGAATCATCGGAGTCTGCAGCTCCTCTGAATCGCTCTGCGTGCAGCTTTCAATTTTATCTTCATAGTCCTCGGAGTTTTCCTCCTTCAATTTTAACTCAAAACTTCGAGGTTCCAATTCTTCCTGCTGCTCTTCATTTGCACAAGACTTGACATCTACAACCCTTGGAAGCAAGCTACTCTCTTGATTTTCTTGTTGCTCTTCCTCACTTTCAATGTTTTCAATCTTGACTGGATTTTGACTCGGATTAAATTCTGTGCTTTCTTGCTGCTCGGAGATCTCTATATCTTCATAACTAGAGTCGGCGGAAGTATCGTCAAACATTTCTGAGGTATCCTCTTCTTCTTGGGAAAATTGTGAGCTTATCTCACTACTTTCCTCCCCACCTTCGGATTTGACACCAGAGCCTCCTGAAGGCTTCGTTGACTCCTGTTCTTGTTGAATCTGAGCTGATAGTTTCATTTTCTGTTTTTCGGTTAAAAGTGACCCCAGTTTAAACTGCATTTTTGGAGATTCCTCTTTCTTCTTTGTTTGGTACTTTTTCTTCGGCAAAGGCATGGAAGGGAAATGCAACACTGGCAAAGCTTTATCTGTTTTGACTTTTTTGATAATCATTCCGCGAACTTCGACAACTTTTTCTGTTTCCGTTTCATAATCAACCGCACTTGCCGGTTTCGCATTAGCTGGTGGAATCGGAAGCGTTTTCACCAAAACAGTCTCCTTAGTCGGCTCGGCTTCTTTAACCGCCGGCTTTGTGGAACTGCTAACTGGGTTTTCAGTCCCGCTATTAGTGCTCGATTCTACGTTGCTAACCGGCGGTTCAGATTCAGCACTAGCTTTTGAACCCACTTCTTTAATTTCAGGAACATAGGTATCTTTAGGAGGCGGCGATTTCTCGCGGTCGTCTTTTGTCGTAGTACTAACACCCGCGTCAATACCCAATCGCAATTTCCTAGAAACAGTTCCACTCAAATTTTCACCGCCAATTTCAACTTGATCTGGTTTTTTCAATAAACTTTGTTTCAAAAGGAACACTTTTTTGGGTGTCAAAATTGGCGCTTTTGAAGAGTCGAACTCGGACTCTTCGTATGTCAAGGTCACACTGGTCGGCAGCATTCCTCCGGACGTTACGGGTGCCAAATCTGCTGATATGGGGGATATTGATGTTCTCAAGACACCCGGGGGTGTGGTCTGAGACAAGCTTATTGAAACAGGTTTAGTTGGCGAGCTCTCGGATAATTTTCTGTTTGATTTGTTTTTCTCCGTAAGCAGTTGCGACTTCAAGGGAGATGTTTTTGGAGTGATAGTTGATGCTTCTTTCAAAGCTTGTTTATTTTGAGCAGCTTCAACTGACGACTTGATATCTGAAACTCGAAAAATATTTTTAAGATGGCGCATACTAGATATATTTAAATGAAGAAGGTTCAATATTGGATTGGAATATAAGAAGCAAAAGGAAAAATAGGGTAACTTAAACATCACCCCACTCACACACAAATATAAATTATATACACAAACAGATTATATACAAAAAAGAACCCACATGTAAAATACCCGATTTCGACAGATATGCCTACCAGAACTCATCTTAAATCCACGTCACTGTTGATCATATCATTTTAATACACCACGAAACATTTTCAGGAAACCAAAAGATGTTTTTGCACGAATTTTTGCATACCTTCCTCCTCTGCCGTCGAGGGGTCGAAGAAGTCTGCGTTCTTCATATCTCCTCCTCCCGCAGTAGGGGGAATGGGAACGGGGAAAAGGGGCACTTCCAGTCCCAGAGTTCCTGGATTGAACTCCCGCACACACTCGAATAGTTCTTCCACTGACATTCCCAGCTGGTCCAGTGCGTAGAAAGCATCTTCCACCTCATTGATGGTCCTCTCACAGTCTTCGCGAATAGGACAAATTAAGTACAAATATCAAAGAGGTTTTTGTTTTCAAACATCTAAAAATTAAAGCGAGTACTAATCTCAAATCTCAAAGAAAAAAAAACAATTTGTGACAAGTTGAACTGAGAACAAAAAGTCAACCTTTTGGTTATTGTTGAACTAATTAAAAACTATCCGACATATATTTTCATAAACTACTCGAGAACTTTCTGTTTTAAGAAGGGACATACATGTAACATTGGTGGGTTCCCAGTAAAAAAAAACTTGCACCACGAATCTGCACAAATTGTCAGGATCACCTAAAACGCTCCCAAAATGGAGACGAAAAAGAACTTACAATCTTCTGCGTTGACCCTCATCAGCACTCCAAACTTTGCAAAGAAGTTCGTGACTAAGTCAACCATGACCTGGAGAGAACTTCCATTTATGGAAGTGTAGCCCAACTCCACGCATATTTTGGCCACACTCTTCTTAACTACCGCCCGTGCAAATTCTTCTGAGGCAGCACTTGTCATTTCGATAACTTTACTCTACTTGAATAAAAAAAGTCACATTTTACTCTGAAACATTGAAAGAACGGGTTGAACTTTTGATGCTAAATTTTTGCAACACATCAGAATACCACACCAAATTACATTAACAAAAATCAAATTATTTCGCTTTTTGAGATACAGCCAATTCAAGGAATTGTTTGAAAACTTTTAATTCATGTTAAAAAATTTTTTAAAATCCAAGATCTTTGAGACAAGATTTGATGGGTCTTCTAGTCTGAGTTTGTCTTGTTCCTTTGCCGACTTCTTTGTTTCGTCGGTTAAAGCCGGATTATAAAACTTGTGAAGTCCGGCGGCCGGCGGGTTATATGGTGCTTTGTTGCCCTTAAAATGATGATTCTTAAAAAATGTGCAGCCTTGCTTGAATAATTTATAAAACCGGTGCTGAAAAGTTTGCTTTCTTTTTCATCAGTAAAAATTTCCCAAACTGCTTTATAAAAAAATGAAGTTTTCTTGCAGAGAGCGGGATGTCCTCTCTAAAATTGGAAGCTGGTCTGAGCCCCAAGTTAGACTAGGTTTCTAAGTTAAAGGGAGTAAAAATGATGATGACGCAGGAGAGAAGTTCTGGGAAGAGGATCAAGTGTTTTTCAATGGTAAGCGGGTCTGATAAAGGTCATTTTGAGGTACACGGTAAACAGTTATAGGGACCAGTGTTGGAATTGATGCCGGCACGTAAGAGTAAGATGAGTATTAATAGACGGAGCAGCCCAGTCGAGTTTGGCCGCTCCCAAACAAAAAAACTCATTTCGAGCATATTTTCTGGGTTTGCATTGGGGCCAATTGCGGCGACTGTAGTGGCTTGTCAGGTGAACCGCGAGTAGGCCGCACCGCTGGACCCATGAGACTCTCTCGTTATTCTCTACGTTCCATTGGCTGGAGAGTTTATTACCATCCTAGTAAATCATTCCAGAAGCTAGTTTTAACTCTTCGCCAAAAATTTCATTTAGAGTGTTTTCAAATTTGAAAATTATTTACCATTTTATGGAGAATGACTATGGATTGAACATTCTGCTCAGCAGCCATTTATTATTGACTATTTTCGATACTATTTCCTGAGGGGAAATTTTTCTGCATCGTTTTGATCGCTTTCTAAAACTATATAAAATCAATAACTTGAAAATCTGTCATGAGTTATGCGCTAGTTTTAACTCTTCATCAAAAATTTCTTTTTGAGTGTTTTCAAATTTGAAAATTAATTACCATTTTATGGAGAATGACTCTGGATGGAACATTCTGCTCAGCAGCCATTTATTATTGACTATTTTCGATACTATTTCCTGAGGAGAAATTTTTCTGCATCGTTTTGATCGCTTTCTAAAACTATATAAAATCAATAACTTGAAAATCTGTCATGAGTTATGCGCTAGTTTTAAATATTCGCCAAAAATTCCTTTTTGAGTGTTTTCAAATTTGAAAATTATTTACCATTTTATGGAGAATGACTATGGATTGAACATTCTGCTCAGCAGCCATTTATTATTGACTATTTTCGATACTATTTCCTGAGGGGAAATTTTTCTGCATCGTTTTGATCGCTTTCTAAAACTATATAAAATCAATAACTTGAAAATCTGTCATGAGTTATGCGCTAGTTTTAACTCTTCATCAAAAATTTCTTTTTGAGTGTTTTCAAATTTGAAAATTAATTACCATTTTATGGAGAATGACTCTGGATGGAACATTCTGCTCAGCAGCCATTTATTATTGACTATTTTCGATACTATTTCCTGAGGAGAAATTTTTCTGCATCGTTTTGATCGCTTTCTAAAACTATATAAAATCAATAACTTGAAAATCTGTCATGAGTTATGCGCTAGTTTTAACTATTCGCCAAAAATTCCTTTTTGAGTGTTTTCAAATTTTAAAATTATTTACCATTTTATGGAGAATGACTATGGATTGAACATTCTGCTCAGCAGCCATTTATTATTGACTATTTTCGATACTATTTCCTGAGGGGAAATTTTTCTGCATCATTTTGATCGCTTTCTAAAACTATACAAAATCAATAACTTGAAAATCTGTCATGAGTTATGCGCTAGTTTTAACTCTTCGCCAAAAATTTCTTTTTGAGTGTTTTCAAATTTGAAAATTAATTACCATTTTATGGAGAATGACTATGGATGGAACATTCTGCTCAGCAGCCATTTATTATTGACTATTTTTGATACTATTTCCTGAGGGTAATTTTTCTGCATCGTTTTGATCGCTTTCTAAAACTATATAAAATCAATAACTTGAAAATCTGTCATGAGTTATGCGCTAGTTTTAACTCTTCGCCAAAAATTTCTTTTTGAGTGTTTTCAAATTTGAAAAATAATTACCATTTTATGGAGAATGACTATGGATGGAACATTCTGCTCAGCAGCCATTTATTATTGACTATTTTCGATACTATTTCCTGAGGGTAATTTTTCTGCATCGTTTTGATCGCTTTCTAAAACTATATGAAATCAATAACTTGAAAATCTGTCATGCGTTATGAGCAACCAGTTTCACGTAAAAAGTTGGTTGCCATATATTATATGACACTAAGTTGTGGTACAACTCCCTTTTTTATATCTTTTAATGCTAGTAAAATATTGTACTATGACTCAATTTACAATACCATCATTGGTTTTCGTAAATTAGCTTTTGAAACGATCAATTCAACACAGAGGCGAAGCTGAGCTTCGCACGAATTGCAATAAAAAGAAAAAAATTTTTTAAAAAATCGGAAAGATCGAGAAAATTAGATCTATTAAATGAATAAAGCTAGTTTTGAAACAAAACATGCCAAGACTATAGAATGTGTAATAAGCATCGGAAGATAATGTACCCAGCGGCAACAAAGCCGAAAATACCTAGTCAGAAACCTTGTCAGAAATCGAATAAAAATCAACAGGACTTCAAACTTCAGAAAAAATAATAAGTCCACCTCACCCTCAAAACACTTGATTTGCTCATCAAATGAAACATTATGAGCCCACTTAGCCGATATAATATACTAAGCCAAAAAAATGAAAATAAAAACAGCCGAAAAAAATTACACTAATTTAAGACTAATAAAATTTTATAAAGCTTTTCTGGCTCGTCGAAAGATGCATTATGGGGCCAACAAGCCGATATAATATAGGCCAAAACCAATCAAGCCGAAAAAGGAAACAAAAATTGGAAAAAACTGTTAGCATCAAAAACTTGAACTATAATTATATAGGAAATTTAGCATTTTGTGCAATCCAGAGATGAGCATTAAAAATGTGTTTCTATTGAAACGACTCAAAGCTAGGTCACTAAGTCAAAAAAAAATAGGCCGAAATCATATCGGCATAACAAATATTTCAAACGAAAAAAGTATATATATATATATATATATATATATATATATATATATATATATATATATATATATATATATATATACGAGGTCAAGTTTAGTAAAAATACAAACAGCACAAACAGAGTGAAATCGGACTAAAAGCAAGAATAGTGTGAAAAAATTTTTAGAAAAACTATACAATATGGTAACTAAGCCGAAAAAAAATCAGCAGACAATCATCAGCCGACAATTTTTTTTGAAACGAACTATTTCCAGTTAGAAAAAAAAAACAGGTCCGGTCAGTTTCGAACCCAGGACCCTTGGCGTCTCAGGCGTATTTTTTACCTCCAGAATAAGTGTGCCGGAAACGCTCAGAATTTGAATTCATTATAAGCCAAGACACCAAATAATTCAAGTGATTCTGTTAAAATAGTTGTTAGCCCGAAAAAAAGTCTACATTCCAGTTTGATAACATTTGCGTAACAGACAGTTTCAGCTTTTGATAATTTTTAGGCCCCACTGCCAGAATACTAACGATGAGATTATTATCAGATCAATTTGCACGAGGGAAGCGTCTACACAGAGGCCAAGCTTCGCAAATACTAGCGAGAACACGAAAAAAAAGCAGCTCTAGAAAGTGCAAACATAGCCAATCGAAGATTGGAAAAGAGTAATGAACGCAAGTAAATGTTAAAAAACACTGACTTTGTTAAAAAAAATCTCAACTTTCGAACTTCAAATAAAAACAGATGCCTTTTCAGCTCTTTGAATTTGTATTCGATTTATGATTGGCGCATTTTTAATAACATTAACCCAACTTAAGAAAACTGGATCAGCAGGTAAAGTTTTTATTCCGCTGGTAATCTGAAAATTAAATTCCACTTTCGAAACTAGAAGTCATTCACATTTTTTGCGCCATTTCCACGTTCGTATTTGGAGAGTGCTATTTACGTCACTTTCAGCAGATGAATTTCAATTGCACTCAAAAAAATGCAAATTTACTTAAAAGCATGCATAAATATGTATGAAAGCACATCTAGGTTATTAGAGCATTTTAGGACTTTTTCCTGAAAAAAAAATACCTAGACTTATTTAGGAGTCTTCATTACTATTAATAAGAAAACTAGAAATAAAATTCGGCCAGGTCTAGGATTCCATCTGCGACCTACTGCAATCAAGAGATTTTGAGTCTCACGAACTAGCCACTCAGCCACGTACGCTTAACCACCGACAAACACAAAGTCAGGAATAAAGCAGCTACATATGCTTAAAAATTGCCAAGCTATTCAGCAAAAGTAGCACCAAATACAAATAGACACAATTTGCAAGTAATAATTTGGAATATAACAAACCAAAGGCATCTTCCATGAACTTAATGGAATCATAATTTTCCATGAACTTAATTGGAAAGCATGTAACCAGAAAAATCACGTTACAACACAAACATAACACGTGTAGGATTCGAATATGCGACCAACTGCAATCAAGAAAGTTTGAGTCTCACGCACTATCCACTCAGTCACACAAGCTTAACAACTCACAAACACTAGTCACGAATAAAGCAGCTACATATGCTAACAAATTGCCAATTTGAGTCAGCAAAATCGGCACCAAATACAAATAGACTCAATTTTGCAAGTATTAATTTGGAATATGACTAACTGAAGGCATTCACACTTACTTTGTACGTAACAAATCGCAAAACATCTGCGATTTGTTACGTACATTGTATAAATTATGCATTTCAAAAAATTGCGAGATATAGTGAGTTAGACAATTTCTGAAATCGAGTTCTTATCATTGTTATGTTGTTTGAAACAAATAGCTTTTTTGCTCATTTGATGAATTACAAATGCGTAACCTGTGTTAACTTATTACTATTCGAATGTCAAAGCACATGCTATCGAAAAACTGTAAAGGTGCCCCAAAAGCGGCACCAATATTTGCGACTTAGGTTAGAGAAAAGACGGTTCCTAATAATATACTTAGCTGACGCTAGTGTAATAATATGCCTTCTATAATTTTCACAAGACAACTGATGCAAAATCAGGCGAACATGAAAATTATCGAAAAAAAATTATAGGACAAAATTATTCAAGGAAAGAGCTCATCGACTGCCTGTTTTCTAATGCCCGTTTACTTTCTCAGAACTATCCGCTCGAAAAGTTGAGGAATAAGCATTCAAATTCTCTTATCATGAACATTACTTGAATTACATTAATTACTTTGTATTAACAGTTCTAAGCAAATGATAACAAAGTAAAATCTACAAATGGAATAAACATTGGAGGTCAAGACGAAGTTAAAGCAATCTATGATTCTGTTCGTTTTTATCGCTATCTTCACAGTCGCTGTCTGGTGCCTTTTTGGTCTCATCACGAGGTCGATCCCGGCTATACATTGAAGATCTGCGGGCAATACCGTCTACAAAATCTTCGTCATCAATCCAGGGTATTTTACCACTGTTATCATCGATCACACTCACTCTTTTCTTGAGATTTCCATTCGTAAATGAGACACTTTTTTCAGGTCGTAATTTAATTGGGACCTTTTCGTGTTCCCTTTGTTTGACGCGTTCTTGAGCAAACAGATTAACAATTCTGTATAACTGAAGAGCTATGACTATGAAATTTTTACCGATGAAGTATGCCACCGTATGGTTTACAACCTCGATAACGAATACACAATGCAGTCTAATAAGTACAAATGGGATGTCTTGCAAGCACAAAATGCAAACTGAGTTCCACAAAAAAGTTCCGAGAACCCACATTATCGGAGTTTTCTGTCCTTTCGAAACATTCTCCAATCGTGCTGTATATACAAGACTAAATTGAAGCTGACTGACTGAGAAAATCATGAGAACAGTGTAAACTAAAGCAGGGTTCCCAAATACTTGCTTCTCGTCCAGGAGAACCAGGAAGTTCAGTTGGTCGGCCATCATGCCCATCCAGCCCCCCAATTGTGCCGCCAGCTGTTCACGGGTCACTGCTGGGGGTCTTGGAATGATCCAGCGGATAAAGAGAAGAGTGACCATTGTCAGCTGTTCCAGCACTAGAGTGATAGTCGCTTTCTAGAAAACCAACATTTTTCATTCATCAATAACGAGCAGGACTCAAAGGTAAAATGGAAACTCAAAAAATCAAAAGCGTTTGTTTGTGTAATGAACAGTCGATTATTCAAAAATTACGGCACGGCATATGAACTCTTGTCTAACTCCAGCAATATCAAAAAATAATTAGAAATGGAAAACTGAATTTCATATGTAAAACGCAAAATTTGACGCAAAATTAAACTTAGCTGACCCAAGCAAAAGCAAAAACGGAAAAAAGAAGCTCTAAAAACGGCAAAAAAAAGAAAATACAAAAAGATACGAAAATCAAAAAAGCACCACGCCTTGAACTCATTTAACGAATGTTTTCTTCTTATATATAGACAGCAAAGTACGCTATCATAAAGCAGATAATGCGAAATCATATGTTGTTCATTAACACATAAAGTATGCAGTCTTTTCACTAAAATGTGCAATCAGCAACGGAAAAAAGATCGTAGAACACGAATCTCACCTCTTGTGTTTAAAATAAAAAGTTAATTTTTGTTTTCAGCAGAAAATGGGACCAATCAATTGTCTCTTGGGACCCATCAGTCTCTTCAGCAGAAATGCACGCAAATGACAGCGTACATTACTTCAAGTGCAGATAAAAACAAAAAACATAAACAAGAGAAAATTCAAAAATTCTAACAAGCTCAATGAGCAGAAAAATAGAAAAATATGCTTAAACTTATGAAAAAATAGATTTTCCTTAAATTTTTTGAACTTCCAGAAATTTGATTGGTATTTCTTTGATTTAAACTGACAATTATCACAGAGCTACTTTATCTTCAATTTAGCATCTGAATTAGAAGAAAACTTAAAATGACACTGAAGGTCAAACCGCCAAAATATTAACTTGCACCTGCGCAAATTTCCATATTTATTTTTGACAAAAGCTACAAAACCTAAAACAGCCAAAATACAGTTGAAAAACAAGGACACTGAAAAAAAAACGTTACTGAAAAACTTAAAACATGTTTCAATATTCGAAGAAATCACGTTGAAGCTCTTTCTTCGAATAATTCAAATAGTGTTTAAGGTTGGCACATTTAGAGAAAACTGGACCAATAAGAAACTTTTTATTCCTTTTTGTGGCCTTTTCGTTTTAACAGCTCGATAGCAAAGGAAATGAAGTCAACTGAAAAAGAAAACAAAAGACAAACCGCGAAAAACCAAATTTAAGCTGGAACACATTTGAAGACTTTTCCCTGAAAAAAAAGAAACCATCAAGATCACTTGGTTCTTTTACCCTTAATAAGCGATAACTCACTTTGTTCATTACGATAATTCACTTTGTTCATTAAGACTTAACTTACAGTGCGAACTTACACTCAATCGAAGAGTGCTTTACACTCATTCAATTCGCGCGCGTATCATTTCTTATGCTGAACTTGAGTGCAGATGAGCAGGCGCTCGTTAATGTCAGTCCCGAATGTGGAAATAATCGCGACACTAACGCAACTAAATCTCAATTTTTGGGTAGAATGTTGACTTTTAAGTTTGACCAATTTAGCTCTTTCATAATATATACAGCAACTCATTACTCTAATAAAGCTTTTTTATTGTCTAGGCTAAAAAGCTAAAGCATTATATTCAAGCATTAATCTTTTATAAGTGCACAGTAAGACTTTACGGCAAAAAAAGACTTCCAAACTAAAATTCAGAAACAAAAGTATATATGTCCAATATATTTTCAAAAAAATTTCAAAAACTTTTCGACCGTTTTTTAGATTGACAAAATTAATTTTCCAAACTCTGCAAAAGCACTAATAGACCCTATTTCGGCCAAATATTCTGCGACGCAGGCAAAATTCCACCCCGCCTAAATCAGTTACTGTACTTGTTCTTTTATGTTTTAAACATCGCTTTGCTATTCATACGTTTAATTTAAATAGCAACAGCACTTGCCATTTCTGCACTATCGTCCAGCAGTGCGAACTTGGACTTGGGTTCGAAGGGGTCGGGAGTCCTCCGGAGTCTCTGGGCTCTGCGGCTGAGCATCGAGTCACTCCTGCTGAAGATGTTGCGCTTTTTCCTCTTTAGCAGATCATATTCCTTTTCCTCCACAACTACTCTGAGTTTCAGTTCACACAACTGAAATAGAAAAACAAAATTATTTGAAATTGAAAGCGCAACTTAAATTTATTCTTGCTTCAATCAAATCAGTGCATAAGGTTGTTGACAAAAAATTCTTTTTTCGAAAAAGCCATGAGATGATTGGAATAGTGTTTTAAAAAGTCCATTTTAATACAGACTCAGAGAAGAAAAAAAAAGCTCAGAAAACAGAAAAAAAAACGCTCTAAAAACAAGCAGCCAGCAGATGTTTGAAAATTGGTAGAAATCTCCAATTTAAAATAACAAAGTTCACCATATGATAGCTGATTAAGTTTAAAAAACATCTTCAAATGGTGTTCAGTTATTCCGCTAGTATCTTTTTAGTGCTCCGATGAAAAATTTGACGCAAGCAATGAAACAACCAAAGAGTCTTTCAACAGAGGATCAGAATAAAAATTGTTAGTTAGTTGGAGCTTTAAAAAAGGGAAATACGTCATTACGGGAATAAGCTTCAGTAAAATTGTGGCTTAAACAGGGAAATCAACTAGCAGAAAAACTTGGCCAAAAAATTTAACACTTGACTTTGAATTTAAACACTAAGTCTTCCAGAGATCTGAACGAGAAATATTCGAATTAGCTCATTAACACTTTCAAAGAGTATCCAGTTGTTGTGAGGGTAGCATAATGTTTAAATTAACTATTATTTGTATTGATAACTTTAATATCGCAAAAAAATAGGAAAATGAGTTGGTCATTTTTCTGATGAGCTATGATGAGAGCTTTGATTGAAATCTATTGATATGGCGAACACAATGGGAGTGCTCCTATTCAATAGGCAATCTTTATTCCTGAAGTAACCATAAAATTTTAAAAAAAATTGTTACTATATTAGGCAATTTCTGCACTAATTCCAATTTTTAGCATGAAGCCAGGAAAAATAGCTAAACCATTTTCCGTTTAAATTTTGACCGCTATCAAAAGTACGATATCACATAATATATTTCTAAGATACCATAAAATAAATTTCCCATGATTGAATTTTTTCGTTTGATATTTCTCTCTCTTATTTTTATCTGAAGAATTACAAAACTTGAACATTGAACATCTCTGAAATATTTCCGTAAACATCAATCAGAATTAATCATTTTGGATGTTCATTTGATGACTCCACAATTTTTAATTTTTATCAAAAGCAGCATCCATCGTTTCCTTTGATGTGGGAATTTTTGATGATGCAGCTGGCAAGGAAGAGCTGAACTTTCAAATAAATCATTGCAACTTTAAAGATAAGTTGTTCGATTAAATGTCAGCTGCCAATTTTGATCTGAAGATACTTACTTGAAAACCTTCACTGGCGCTGTTTTTATTCTGGATTGTGATCACATTGTTGCCCAAGGATATTGACGGATCCAGTTCGATCGACTGTTCTCCTTTGTCTAATGTTAAGGTCCTGTTTAGAATCCCGTCGAACGAATAAATTAGAATATCGGTCGGATCACCCGAAGATTCCTTGCCATCGTTTTTAGGATAGAACTGAAGCTTTACGAACTTAAGCTGCTTATAAACATGCGTAGACTCGATAACATCAATCAGCATCTTTCTAAACAAAATTGAGCTTAATGAGAAATCCATTTCATTTTCAGAAACGGTTTCTTTCATATTTAAGAGCAATGCCTTTGTCTGAAAATTGAGAATGATATTAAATTAAAACATACCCCATGACGGTAGTAAAACAACAAAAAAATAGTCGCGACCAGTACAAGAGCCTGAATAACTTTTTATAAAAAAGTAGCCCAAATGGGTAACACTGGATCAATTGGTAACTTCCTTAATTCGCTGGAAAATTTACACAGAGGCGAAGCGGAGCTTGACACCACTTGCGATACAACACACATGAAAACATAAAAAGTCGAAAAAGCGAAGAAAAAATTTTTAAAAAAACTAGGTCTACCACAATTAAAATTTTCGTATGTCTCGATTAAGTTCATTCTAGTCAAACATAACAGACATTTGAAAATTAAATTAGCAACAGAAAAAAAACAAAAGAGGAGCCTACAATCTTTGAGCAGACACAAGTTGAGCCGACAAAAAATTAGACGTAATGATTTTTTTTAATATTTCATATCTTCACCCCTGAAACTAGAATGAACAACACTTGCATTTGCAATGAAACTTGCTTGCAGCTCAAGCAAAATCCAAAAAAAATCAATTGCATGCATGCTGAAAAAGAAAAGTCCAGCCGAGACCCGAATCCCACACGTTATGGTGCAAAGGCGACGGCGTTAGCCTGGACGAAGTGAGACGGAACGTGGATAAAGTTAGAAGATAACAAGGGAAGAAGTGAAAGAGAAGAATGTGTAAGATAAGTTGGTTATGGAAACAGTCTAGTTCCCGATTATAAAACAATTGCTCTCGCAAGTTAAAAAATTAAAATTTCACCTGAAAGCCATTTATTTTTTTGGCGAAGTTTCCATTTTCCTAATAGGAGAGGCTAATTTGCCTTCTCTTCAGTTCAGCAAACAAAATTTAATTGAATTTGAACAAAAATCAGAAATCAAACCGCAAAAGACCAAATTTGCTGTGATAAAATTTTTTCCTGAAAAAAAATCGCTTTTGATTCACCCTATTTTCGAATCTGAGGCATCAAATTACTATTCGGGCCAAACAATTCAATCGTAAAAGAAGTTAATAAAAACGGCACAAAGTATCTCTAAGAAATAAATGCACAATAGAAAAAACATGGAAAGAAACAGATTCATAAAAACAATATCAGTCTATTTGAAAAATTTCGAATCGGATCGATAACTGAAATAACTCCAAAACATTTTTGTTTCACCAGAAATTGATTCCAGCAATGAAACTTTGAAATATTGCAAATTATTTTAGTAGCCTGTTTCAGTTATTCAAAAATCTTGCTTGAATATAAAAGCGGGGTCTTATGCACTAAACGGCCCAAAATCAAATTTTTTACATCGTAAGCTGGAAATTATGCGAACGAATTTGATAAGGTAATTTTAGCCAATCAAATTCAAGTTAGACGGTCAGGCATTCCGATCAACCTTTCCAGCAGATAAAAATATTAGCCGAAACTTCCGAAAAGATGGAACTTTGTAAAATAATCAAATTAATTTTGAGTTACTTGTGAAACCTTGCCCAGACAAGAAAAACTTGGCTCGACAAAACAAAAACTCAAATTTTTTTTATCATTTCGGCTAATAATTTTATCTGCTTGAGATGTCAGAATTATTTCCTTTGAAATGGCAGAAAATGTCGATGGAACTTGATTGGCTAATTAGCTAATCAAATTCAACCACATTAATTTCAGTTCAACAGATGTAGAAATAATGGTTTTGGGCCGTTTAGTACATAAGACCCTAAAAGCGAAGATCTCAAGATAGCTTTTAGATTTTTTTAAAAAAAATAATTTTTTTTCACTATTAGTTCGCCTGTTGCCAAAAAAATGGCAGATACTATGTTGAAGTTCAATCGAGTTTATCTTGTCCGAAGTTTTGACTTCGGGTGGAAGAGTAGAACTCCAGAATACTACTGACGTCAGAATCTGCAAAAGATCTAGAATATTCTCGCCTTTCTTATATGATGAGCATAAAAACTCTTAAACATGCTGTCCACTTCAATATAGCAACATATTATTCATAAAATATGACTCGAACTAAACGTTTGCATAGGGGAGGTATTACGCTAGCAATACTATTCACGTCGGACAAAACGCTTGCTAGGAATAAAGGGTCCTTTCTACTTTCTATCTTAGAAAGTAAATCTAAAATTCGCTGAGAAATATTTTATTAAAAAAAGGAAGTTAGTATGAATTTACAGCAAGTTGCCTTTTGACTCAATATCTATTTTTTACGGTGAGATTGGAGATATTTTTTCTGAGATTGAATATTATTTTAGAGAAGGGTTGGGGTGGTTGAGGAGAGTGGTGGTGGTGGTAGAAGAGAAGTTGTTGGAATGAATTCCCGTAGTTTAGAGCTTCTATTTATACTCAAATGGGGAAATCACGCCACTTTTCGTATCAAATGAGAAGTTTCTTTTAACTTCGTATTCTTTATTCGTACATTCGTATTTTACGAGAAGAAGGTTTCGTATGCTCGTACTTTACGAGAGGAATCGTTATTATTCGTATTGAATGAGAATAGTCGTTTCAATTCTCAATGCTTAAAACGTTATACGAATTATTCCAATAGCATTTCCCTTCCTTTTGCAAGGGAATAAAAGCATATTTCTTTTGGTGGTGGCGGCGGCGTCACTTTTTGTGAACGCAATAAAATAATTCATGTTTCTGTTTCTATTTGAAATCAGAACATATCTATCCTCCTATTTGGAGAAGGAAAAAACTAAAACTTTCATTTTTATTACTTTCACTTGAATAGTGGGGTAATTGTTGATCGATCGAAGCTTTTTCTTTCAATCTCATAAAGTTTTGTTGGTATTACGGGTAGCAGATGTTTTTGAACAAAAGCTTTTTCTTTCAATCTCATAAAGTTGGTTAGTAGTTTATTGGTATTACAGGTAGCAGATGTTTTTAATCAACTGATACTTTGAGTCAGGCTTGAATAAAAATAAATACATCAGTTACATTTATAAATCAAAATAGGGTTTACACAACCAAGGAATTTAACTATAAAATTAAATACATCAAAATTATTTGTTTCTCAAAAGTTTGAAGGTTAGTTTTATTCCTTAAACATTCTTTTTCCGAAGTCTCCTTTTCTTCCTGAAGTATGTGAAGTCTGTCCAAACGCGTAATAAGGGGAGGACTGGTTCATACAAAGGGGGTATTTTTTGTGTTTTTTGTTTTTTTTAAAAGTCAAAATTGATGAGAAAGGAAATTAATAGCTATACTACATAGCGAAAGAATAAATGTTTAATTAAAAGGATAAATTTCTTACAATTTTCCTTCCAACCGGGCTATAAGTTGTTGATTTTTTGTTTTTAAATTGTGGATATGCTTTTTCAGCTCCCGGATTTGGTGCGTTTCATGTATATGACTGCGCTGAATTTGCTCAGTATAGTCATCTAACTGGGGGGTTTGTAATTTTGCTGTCAGATATTTTGCTGGGACATAGATTTTTTGATATTCAAGAAGGGAATTATTTATGGAATACATTTTTTTTATAGGGTGATAGGCTTCTAATTTAAAACGATTGATTAATGGATTCAAAGCATATTTGAGATCCATATCGAAGCCAGGATTGCTTTTAGAATTAATGTATCGTTCCCTTTCTAACTGAATATGTAATTTAGTGTTTAATTCAGTGGGTCGCAAGGGCTATCGCCTAATGGTCATTGGACAATGAGAAGTTGATACCGGCGTATTTGCCGTTAGTATCTTATATGGTCTTACAATCTGGGTCCGTTTTTTAATTTTAGAATTCGAGGGAACCAGGGGTATTTTAAAATCAGGGGGTGAAATTTTTAGGGGTGGTGGCTGTGATGCTGTAGTTATCGGGACAGCTGAACTGGTTTGAAGTAGTGGCTCAACGAAGGATCGTGTTGATGTCGGCTTTGCAGTGGGTGTTGTAGTAGTAGAAGCAGTTGGTTGTTGAGTGAGTGCTGAAATCTGCGAGTCCAGTGGATCGGTTGGTGGCAGAAGTGAGAGGAGATCCTCGAAATCTCTCAAGTCGTCATCAAGTGTTGCGTCCATAGTTGAATCAGTTGGTATATCCTAGAACAGTAGAATTTTTTTATTAGACTGGGTTTGTTGGGTGATCCAAGTTTTGAGTTCTTCTCTCAAAACTTGTTAATTGGATGTGAGGATACATGCGATCCTGGTTTATTTTATCAATTTCCTCTAAAAGAGGGGCTTGTATTTTCTGATCACATTCTTGTTCTATTTTAGTTTGCTCATCTTGAGTGAAAATTGAGGTCACTATGGAAGTGAAAAGTATATCATATGAAGCGGCAAGTAATACTTTGCCAAAGTGTAGTGAGCGGCCGGTGATTTTGTGAATATGCATAGCCTTTATTATGAATACTAGGCAATCTAGTATGAATTTCACAAATAGAAAAGAGGCGAAGACTATTCCGCATTTTTCTAAATAGTATTGTACTTTTCCGAATATACGGGTGTATTCGTTTTTCCAAAAGTTTGGAGAGATGAGATAGTCCAAATAGATTGTTTGGGAAGAGCCTAGTGGGCTGTATGAGTCCTTGAAAAGAATTTTTTTAGCATTTAGAAAGGACCTGGATACTTTTTGCAGTATTCCTTTCATCTCTGAATTATCGGAAATCATATTCCAGAATTTTTGCATTTGAGCATAAGTGTAGATTGAAGCGCCTTGGCTAGAGGCTAAAGAATGCTTAATCTTTTGAATTATCTCTTTTGGTTCAAAGAGATATGGTCCTGTAACCCTTGTAATTTGAGGGGTTAATTCAATCCAGGACTTATCATCATCAACATCTAGTTGAAAGAGATTCGAATGTTTGTCGGAGCAGTCTTGTAGATCTGCCGACTGAAAAGTTTGTCGCGTAATTGGATCGACAAATCGAATGTTTTCCTTATACATAATGGGAATGCGATTATAGCATTCATCCATTAATTGCAAAGGTGAATAAAATTTCGGACAATGGTAGAGCCAG